GGCGGGGTGGGGGGCAGAATCCCGGAGTGTGAACTGGATTGCCTCTAGACCAGTAGTCATCCTCATAATCACCCTTTGAAGTGGGTGCTTCAATAATCAATAATTTGTGCAACACTGATTTGCAATTCAATTGGACATTTTAACATTTCTCTTCTAAGGAGATAAACCTGCTTAAAGCCCCTGCTTTTATAGAAAGCTAAAGTGCATGTAAATAAATAAAATGCAGACTTGTAGCCGGTGAGGGGTGGTAGATTTATGCACAAAGACTAAGCTATTAGCAATTTTATACTGAGTAAACCTTGCTGAGTTGAGGCATGTAACTGATTATCCCAGCAGCATGAATATTAGGAGAATTGAGCATCATTTGTCTACCCAGTAGTGCCCCTAATTAAGAGCACCTTGAGGTATTTCCCCAGATCCGTGGTGTTCACTGGGCCTTGTAACTAGATGTATTTCCCTTACTGCCTTGAGACACATGTTCCAGCATGTGGGAGCCATTTACGAGCTTGATAATTCTACCCGTCCTCTGTTGACATCTGGATAAATCCATTCTCATTTTCAGACACTTTGTCTCCAATTCTAATAACGGAAGAGGCTTTGTCAAGAAATTCTTAGTGTTTGTTTACACAAAGGAATATTAATATTTCCTCTTATTACTTGCATCATGGTTTCCCCGCAGTGGAAGCCTTTGAAAGTAAACATGCATAATAACCCAACTTGATGAATTTCTCAAGTGAATCTAATCAATTATGATGGAACCAACGTGAAAAACTGTTGGGGTTGCTAACAGGAAGATAATTTTACTCTTTTAACAATTTGTTTAATAGGCCTTGATTGAGTTTCTGCTTAGAGCGAAGGCACTAAAATGCCAAGGGGGTATGGATTTCAAAGAAGGCAGTCTCTGTGTCCCCTGCTTCCAGGCCCTGACTGAAAGAGGTAAGATTGCCCAGGGATAGATCCACTGTGGCCAGCGGGGGGAGGACGGGGGTCAGCGTGACTCCACGGTAGGCACTGCCTAGGTAAATGCTGCTGTTGTCTCACCTCTGTGAAACTACAGCTGTCACTTTGCAAATTTCCCTCCCTGTTTCCTAAAGCTACTGTCCTCTATCATGGTCTTGCACATCTCGGCCACTAAGCAATTTAGAAACAAAGCTACTGTCCTGAATATTTAGTGCAATGTTCAAAGACTGAACTCGTGCTTGTTGAATGGCAATAGAGTAGTTAACATTGATTGAAATTTTACTATGCACCAGACACTGAGCTGACTTCATTAATATACAATCTTCACATCATCCTGGGAGAGAAATTAAGAGCCTATATTCAGACAAAAACTGAGACATAATTTCTTCATTAAGGATATTTTGTAGGCAAAACCAGAAACTCACTCAAGCTAATTTATAGTTGAGGGAGGGAATGGGAATTATTGGAAGGTTATTGAAGAATCTTGTGGAAGCCAAAGGCAGGAGTTGAATCTAGGTGTCAAGAGGTACTGTAACCAGGAACGCTTTGGGGACCATAAGCAAGCTCTCCCTCTTTTTCTCTTTCCCATATTACCTCTTCTCATTCTTGTGACTCTCTCTCTATTGATGCTTCCACTGATCACCAGGCCTTGGCACCAAAGTCCCAAATCTGTATTCCAGAGAAAGGTAGCCTGATTGTCCCTGACTGGATCAGGTACTCACACCTGGCGTCATCAGCTGCGCCGGGTCACTAGTGTCACCTTAAAGACGTGACAGCTTGAGGTTCATGCCGGTGGGTGATGGCAGGCGCTGCTCAGAGAAGAGTGTGGGTTCAGCAGGCACTCTAAACCATGTCTGCTGGAAGGGGACAAGAATCTGATCATTACAGGGTCAATAGAACTTGAGATCAGTTGAATGTGGGCATGAGAGAGAAGGAGGAATTGGAGGTGACTCCAGGGTTGTATGTTGGGAGATGAAGAGAGTCAAGGACGAGAGCCCTTCCACTGGAGTGGCACGCAGAGGAGGATGGGGCGTGAGGGAGCCTCTGAAAGAAGAATGTGACGAAAAGGCCTCTCCTGTCAAGAAGAACATCAAAAGGCCTAAGGTGTTAGCGGAGTGGTGAGCTGCAGTCCCAGCTGCACAAATGCACCTTCCCCCGTGGCTTCCACAGTTCCCTCTAGGATCCCCCATTCTGATCTCTGCCCCGTGACCACCACTGCCCCTCCCCGGGGTGCAGAGATTTTTCTCGACAAATTTGCCTAATATGTAGCCATATTTTAAGACAGAAGGAAGTCCCTCCCCCTCCCCACCAAGCCCAGTCCCAATCTACCACTCTAAAAGGGCCAAGAGTGTGTTTATAATGCCCCTCACTGTACACAGACCCAGCCCATGTGGGCAATTATAGGTGGCCAATAAATATATATTTAATGAGAGAATAAATGGACATTTTCAAAAAACTTATTTATAAAATACCTAAATATTTTGTAGAGAGAAACATAAAAATACAACCAGCATTTAAAAATAGCTAATTTTTAAACTAGAGGCTTTATTCTTAAAATAACTCAATGCTCTAGACTTAAAAGTAAGATGATCAGCTTACCTAGGACTTACCTAGTTTGAGCATTGGAAGTCCCAAGTCCTGGGAAATGCTTCAGACCTGTCACCTGGGCTGATGTCACCTCTCACATGCCAGGCCTTAATTTATTTCCTATTAAGGGCAGCTACATTTGGACCAATATGACCTTTTCTAGGTCAAGGTGAAAAGCTCACATCTTAACTGTTCCTTCCACAGAAGGCCTTCCCACCCGTCATCTTTACCTACTAACTAGCTAACTAAGATACATTTATTCTGGAAATAGCATTGTGTCTGTGCAAATGGAAGAGCGGTGGTTTATACAGAACTCGGTCTCTGAAAAAGTGAATGCTAGAACAGAACAGGAGGTTATTTGGAGGTACTACAAACAGAATGACAATACACGTCAGGGTCTAAGGCCTCTCTCTGAGCTCAACTTCCTAATAGTAATGTTGTCTAAGTACCGTGTAAATAGCAGAGACAAGTAATCTGAGCTTTGTAGTTGCCAAAAAGGTGTACCATTTTTGCTGTTTATAAATTGTCATGCTAAGTCATCAGTTCTCTCACACATTGGGTGTCCTAAGTCTATTTGCTTGGGTGGTATCAGATTATGTCTGTTGCCCACGTTTAACCATTAATAGCACCCCTTTTACTCTCAAAAGTGTCCCAGTATGAAAAAAATATACCCAGGTTTGGATAATAAACAATACGGCCACCGCACTTATGAGCATAGCTATTTGACTCTCAGAGCCTAATCATCCCAGTACAAATGACAAATCAAGCTCTGGACTGTTCATAGGGACCACTGGGCCAGATGTGAGGGCCACAGCAGCCTGCAGACAGCCCCGTGCCTTATCCCTTCCTCTTCTCTGCTGGCTCTCCAGCCCTTTTCCCTCTCCCTGTTGCCTCTTCAATATATTTTCTAGCACACAACATTTTAGAATAGATCTCAGAATCTCTTGACAAAAATGTGCCAAAATCCCAGTCTCGAATTTAATTTCCTCTCCATATATAGATTAATTTATCCTTCTGAAAGAACTACCTTTGGTTCCATATTTATCTATGTTTCTCTATCATGATTAAAATATACCCCCTACTTATTTTGCTGGCAAGGTTAATTTCATTTACTTCTTTGGGGAGTCTGGGCTCTTTCATCTTCTATTTCAAGGTGTTGATATGACTGTGCCGTGACAAGTTGTGATTCCATGAAGTTCTAAAGCCATGTGTGCAGCGTGAAGCTGAAGAGACCCAGAGGAAGGCGGGGCATTGGAGGAAGGAGGATCCCGGTCCTTCCTCTGCCCAGGTGGGTCATTCTCTGGGCCTCAGTTACCCGCCTGCGCACAGCTGTCAGGTCCCCTGTGCTCCTGCCACATGCAGTTCCCTCCCACCTAGTGCTGCTTCCCGCATACCCTTAAATACGCTAAGCGGCCCAGGCTGGCAAAGAGATTTACCCAGCTGTGTGCTCCGTGTTTTGATGTGATTGGGTTACCCTTGAATGCTATAATAAGAACTACTTTAAAAAATCTGTTCAAGTACATGCGCACGCCACCAGCTGACAGACCCGAACGGTATGAAGTGAAAGGTAACTGTCCCCTTCTCCCACCCACGTCCTGTTCCCACTCCCTAGTGCCTGTTTCTCAGGTGTTCCTCCAGGAAATGTGTACACATACGCACCCCCAGACACCCCCACGTGCACGCAGACTCATGAGTGTCTTCTATATCCGAAATCTACCTCCGGAGCCCTTCTGTCTCCTGCGTGTCAGACGCGGGGAAGCCCCCCCAGCGCGAGGAGAGTGCAGCTCAGTTCTCCCACCAGCAGGCTNCCACGCGCACACACAGACTCATGAGTGTCTTCTATATCCGAAATCTACCTCCGGAGCCCTTCTGTCTCCTGCGTGCCAGACGCGGGGAAGCCCCCCCAGCGCNTGTCTCCTGCGTGTCAGACGCGGGGAAGCCCCCCCAGCGCGAGGAGAGTGCAGCTCAGTTCTCCCACCAGCAGGCTCGCAGCTGGTCTCCCTGCCCACGCTTCTCCCGTCTCAGGCCACCTCGAACACTCCGCCGCGGCCACTTGCCTAGAACCCTGCTCTCCTGCCCACCCTGCCCGGCGTCTGCGCTGTTTCCTGCAGTCTGTTTCTAAATTTCTCCGCCTCACTTTCAGACCTTTCCTTTACCTTGCTCCATTCTATCTAGCCAAGTGTTTTATTATTATTATTATTATTATTATTATTATTATTATTATTATTATTATTATTCTGAATGCTCCCCCACAGAAAGGCCAGTTTTATCTTTTACTCCTGGGAAATGCTACCCTTAGTGCCATGTCTGGGCGTTTGCTCGTGAGCTTCCCTCGAGTGCCTTTTCTCCTGTCCACCTCGGGAAACGTCCCCATAGGTTAGGATTAGTCCTTGCATTGTATAGGTGAGGAAACTGAACCTCCAGAGGGTAAGTGATTTCTTACAAGTCACCTGCCTGTTATCTGGGAGAGATAAAACTAGCTCTTAGACCGGACCACTGGTCTTTGCTTTAAACCACACTCCTTAGATCCTGGAGATGGCATCACTGCACAGACGGTGTCACCACAAGAGAGGAGTAGTTTAAGTGTAGTGAGGTGCATTACTGTATTCAGGGTGTTAATTATCACCCCTGGGTGAGATAGTTCGTTTTCAAGGGTATGCACACGAGGGAGCTGATCAGTCCTTGAGTGAGGCACTGGGGCTAAGCCACCTTGGCAAGTCCTTCTCTACCTTCTCCTCTGTAAAATGGAGCTAATAATATTAGTCGTGCAAGGTTGAGCAGAGAGGGCAAAGCTTAAGACATTTTTTTTTCCTGTCAATTAAAGAGAATAGCCTCTCATTTTGGATCATGGCAGCCCAGATGCCAGTTCTTTTCTGCCACGTTATCAAATGTGAAGTGTGAAGATTAAAGATAAAATAAGCAAAGTGTTTGGTATAGAGTGAATGCTCAACAATTTTAGCCCTGATGATTTGCCCAGCAACCTAGTTCCTCCAAGACTGGACATGTTTGAGCCCAGGAACCCCCCACTCACTCCTTCCACCACACAACCTGCTTCCTGCCTCCAGCACGTGCTTCCCACTGCTGGCCGAGGCCAGCTTCCTAAGTGTCTGTCTGCCAGTGGTTTTGTATTCTGTCTGCTCACAGACTCTCACCTCTGCTGGGATTCCTTTCCATTTCTTTACTCTCTAATGCTGAACATCCGTGGAAATTACTTCTCCCCTCTGTCACCATCATCTGGCTACAAAATACCGTCTACCCGGATGCTCCTAGACACCTGCAAGCCCTTCCTCCACTCCCAGCAAGAAACCTAGTGTCCTCAACTTGACGTTTCTCCATCTGGCCCATTCTCCCACCTGCCAAGGTCAGAAGTCTGTGGTTCAGGGTTGCATTAGGACTTTCATGGACTCTAGGTGCTTTTATCTTTGTGAGCCCATTCTTTCACAAAAAAATACTAAAAATTGGATTTTACAACTAGGTTGGTATAAAAGACTAATTACTATAACCCAGGCTGGATTTATTATATATTAGTATTATATTCATATTTTTTCAGATTTAAAAATTTTTTTCATTGATTTTTAGAGAGAGGGAGGGGATAGAGAGATAGAAACATCAATGATGAGAGAGAAACATCATCAATCAGCTGCCTCCTGCACACCCTCTCCTGGGGATCGAGTCTGCAACCCTGGCATGTGCCCTGACCAGGAATCGAAAAGTGACTTCTAGATTCCTGGGTCAATCTTCAACCACTGAGCAACACCGGCTGGGCTTTTTTTTCTGATTTTAAAAGAAATTAAAATATTTTCATGTGCCCTTATAGGCGTCGTGCGCCACAGGCATTGTGCCTAGTGAGTAAATTGGCCCTGCTAGAGTCAGATATTCTTTTTTTAAAAAAACGTATCTTTATTGATTTGAGAGAGAGGGAGAGGGAGAGAGAGAGATAGAAACATCAGTGATGAGAGAGCGCCATTGATCGGCTGCCTCCTGCACGCGCCCCACTGGAGATTGAGCCCACAACCCGGCCATGTGCCCTGAACAGGAATCAAACTGTGATCTCCTAGATCATAGGTTGGTGCTCAACCACTGAGCCATGCTGGCCCAGTGAGTCAGATATTCTTGAGTCCAATTTGGTCATAAACTTGAGGCGTGACAGAGAGAGGAGGAATAGAGGTATTTAAAAGGAGACTAAACCCTTGTTGGTCTATCTATAGTGAGTGAATTGCCATCCTAGTTCCTGACGCCTCATTTTCACTTTCTGCCCATACCTGTCTACTGCAGAGTGATCCCTTTCAGCTCACTCTTAGGCCTAAGCATTGGGGTGGATCACTTTAAGAAGGATGGACCTGTCAGAGCTTGGAGAAGCTGCAACCGTCCTCACAATTAGTGAGGCTGAGCAGCTTCTGCTACAGGCTACTGCTTTTGATGGTAAGATTTGTGGCGGCTGCTGGCCTCACTTTAGTTTACTGCTTCTAGGTGGCAACTGAAATATTTAATTGATTAAGAGGAATCATCAGTTTTGGAGCCTAACTTACTTGCTTGAGGTGTAACCCATCTCTGAACCTCTGACTGAGCAATTGAGGAGCTCAGAGGGTCCAGGGTAGGGAGGGAGGTTTGCAGAGAAGAGAAGGCCTGCTGGGAGGCACCCAGGTGCAGGCCCTGCTTACTTAGCCCTAAAACATGTTTTCTCTTCCAGGAAGCATTATTATAGTACAGATATCCGCAGGAGTTACCCAAGGTAAAGCCTTTTTCAGAAACTTCTTAGTGGATAACAGAGAGACGGGACTGAGATTTAGACTGTAGGTTGTGCTTGTTTACTGTAGAGAAGAAAGGAAAAGATGCTGGGAAGGCAGGAAAATCGAAGCTGTCTCTGGCCCTCCAGAATTTACTAATGTTGGAAACTTGCCCTCTGGCTGTCCTCTAGGTCAGCAGGGTTACTCAGCCAACACTAAACAAAAGATAATTGGGAGACTTGCTCACCCTGATTAATAAGTTCTTGGTAGTTACAGGCAAAAAACAAAGGTTAATGAGGATTTAGCCTCAAGATAAAGGCTAAGTGCTACATGAAAATCTAAATAAATGATATATTTTCCCTTCGCCCTTTCCATGTCTGAGCTACACGGCCATCTCCTGAATTCCGGTTTAATTGGAGATTTGGAGTCAAATTCACAGTGTAACATAGCAGCAAGCCACCTACATATCTCAGTTCCAACATGATTCAATAGTGCAGTGTAAATACTGACTGAGCGTTGTTCTAGTACTCAAAATTAGTCAACATCAGGCTTTAATATGATCAATTAGGATTCAAGCCAGTTGTGTAGGACATTATATTTCCATCATAGACCAGTTCTGGATAAGTTCCCAGTTTCCAGTCATTGAATTTCATTACAGTGATTGCATTTTAGAGTAGCTAATTATAATCCATCAAATCAAATACAACAGAACTATCCCTGAGGTCAGAACTGGTCATGCAGAAGCTTATCGCAGGCAGCGAGATAACAGAGGACAAGACCATAGTGATGCCAAGGCTCTAGAGATAATTGGATGATACATTTAGTAGACTCGTTCAGCATTCTAAATAATTACTTAAAATATAACAACCGCATAATTTTTAATTAATTTTTTTGGCCAAATTATCCTTCCTCATAGAAATGTACTGGAAGCAAAAAGACGAGAGTCAGCAAAAGTTTTTCACCCCCTGGGCTAGCAGACGATGCATTATGATTTTTTGAACTCAGTCCAAGTGAAAGCAGTGTGATAAGAGTATTTGGCAAGTAGTCTTGGGATCAAATTCCCTGTCCTTGATGTTCTCTAGCTGTGTAATTAGAGCAAATCACTTCTTACTGAGTCTCGGTTTTCTCATCTGTCAAACCATATAACAACACTTACTCTGCCTGCCTTCCTCCATGAGGACCAAATGAGACAGTAAATGGGAAAAACAAATACAGTGCAATAGGACGATACCTAGGAAAGGAAACTAGAATTACTGGGTGTCAGGGAGGAAGTGCGCTTTTAGAGATTAAGACAAAACACCATCCCATAGCCAAAGGTAAATGATTTTCACATAAGGACAGGTAAATAATTTACTTAAAAAACTACGACATTGAATATAGCATTACTCCAATTTTGATCAATAATCTAGAAAAAAGACTTGAAAGAAATGCTTCACATAGATAATAGTGGTTTTCTGAGTTTCCATCATGGGTGACTTTTAAAAAATTTCTTCATACTTTTTAAATTTTCTTCAATAAACACATGCTACCATTATATTGGAAAAGATACTTAATCATCTAAAAATACGAAATTATATAGGCAAAACTCCTGAATTTACAGATGAGAAAACTAAGGCCCAAAGCAGTGAGACCATTCTTTATATCTCATTACTGGAAAAGCCAGGACTAAAATTCAGCTGTCCTCACTCAAGTCCATTGCTGTCTCCATTTCCATCTCTGCAATTATTTATGAATGCAAAGAATTAAAAGTTGACTGATCTCATTTACTTCACCTTCAGAAACACCCCCATCAGGAACTGGGCCTCACATAGGTAAAGGTTTCTGAAACTTCTTGTCTCCCACTGTTTCCAGGGGTGATAAAAAATTGTTAATTAATAGGTAGGTGATAAACCCAATTCTTGACAAACAATGGAGGGAAAAGAGCTAAGCATACAACCTGGAGGAAGCAAGTTGTAATGGAAGGCCTCTGATTTAGGAGGTAGGTGATCTAATTTCTAGAGCCATTATTCTAACGACTGCTACTAATTAGCTATGGACAACTCTCTTACTCTCTTTTCTTTGGCTCTTTTCCTATAAAGAAGGGGGTGGGGGGGGTAGGGTTATGCCGGGTGATAGCCACGTTTTTTTCAAGTGATTACATTTGGTTTAAAATACAGTGTATTTACCTTAAATATACAATATGTATGCAAAATGGGTGCTTTTCATAAAGAAGCCTATTTTCATAGGAATAACACAAAGCAAAATTCGTTTTTGCAAAAAGGGACCAAAGGAGTAAATACAATGCAAACCCAGTATTTAAAATGCAAATGACAAGTAGAAGCAAATGCAAAATCAGTCAAATAGGAATATGAAAATCCTCTGACCCAGCAGTTTTAGTGGTGAATTGGTTGCAATCAGGCAAACGGGGAAGGGAACACAGTGGAGATGGTGATGGCAAGAAAGTAGTTAGTGAGCAAAAAATTTCTCTGCAGAGACAACCATGGCGGAAGAAAGGTGAACGCTGCCCAACTTCACCTGCTCCTTACACACTGTCTTCAAGTCCGTCTCCCCACCTCTGGGGAGAGCCTCTGGTGAGGGCCCTGTCCTGCAGCCTGAGGCCTCCCTGGCTTTTGTGATTCATGTGTCAGGAGCGGTGGTGGTGACAAAGTTGGCGTTACCACCCTGGCTGCAGCGGGTTTCACCTGTGCCTCGCAGTCAGCTTTTACCCCTTCCAGCCAAATGCCCTCCTCTCCTCTTCCCCTCTCCTTGAGGAGCTGGAACAGGGGACCTCTCTGAGCTTGAGCTTCTTAAGACTCACTTTGCTTTAAAAGTTTGTTTCTTTTTTTAAATTCTCATCTGAGGATAATTTTTCCACTGCGTTTTAGAGAGAGTGGAAGAGGCAGAGAGAGAGAGAGAGAGACATGGATTTGTTGCCTCCCGCACACACCCTGACAAGGGCCGGAGATCGAGCCTGCACCTGAGTATGTGCCCTTGGCTGAAATCAAACCCGGGACCCTTCAGTCCCCAGGCCGATGCTCTAACCACTGAGCAAACTGGCCAGGGCTAGAAGTCTGTTTCTTATTCCCCTTCCCTGGCTGTCTACCTCAGGTGGGAAAGCACTTGAGAAGCTGCCTCAGGTGTTTGTGAGGGTTCTGGCTCATTCGGCCAGAAGCCGCTTATTGGTTAATTGCTTTGTGGAGGGCTGCTTTGCTCAGGGATGGGTCATGATTGTGAGGAGGCAGAGGAGAGAAAAATAATATATGGGGAAAAAGGATATGAACCAGTTATGCTGCAGACAAAAGTAACCCATATTCTCCCTCCTCCACCTTCCCCCTCCAACTCGAGCATATAATTCCCTTAGCAGGCTTCCATTCCCAAACTAAAACTCAGGGCTAAAGAAATCCTGAAGGACAGACATGACCACTAACCTAACTTTTCACTGAGTTGTAACCAGATCTTACCGAGTGAAGTTTTTGGAGAGGAGCTGGAAAGGGTCAGAGCACCAGGACAACCGCCCAGGATCTGGGGTTGTGGGTAGGAGGTAAGTGCTGGGGTTGGGGGGAGTGGGCAAGGTTTGGTCAGGCAAATTTCTGGTAGTGAAATGGTGTATGATGTTCCCGGCTTCCGCTTGCCGAAATGTTTCTTGTTCCTACAGAGTCATTGTGTGGATGTAATTTCAGGATGACCTTTCATGATTTTATTGAATTTTGCAATTACCTATATTGATGATTCCAAGTCAACAAGCAGAATTAGCAGAAGCAAGGTCATACCTTTCAGTGCGAAAGTGTCTAAACATATATTGCAGGTAATCCATATTTTTTCTCTATATGGAAGAAGAAATGCTGGATTCCTGACAGAATGTGGAGGTCGAGGTTAAAGGGAGTGGAGACAATGGCAGAATAATTGTTGGGACAACAGATGGAAAGGTAAAGGAATCATTATTTTATTTCAGGAAAGACTAGGCTCTCAATTTAACCAAATAATTGATATTTTCCCTAATAGTTTAATTAAGGACCTATGGTAGAAAAAAAACCACAACAAAACCTGTGGTAGGAGATACCATTGATAACCTTGGGAAACCTCATTCATCTTTAAGAAGCTTCTCCACTTACTATCAAAGATTTAATGACAAACATTGATTAAGTCAGAGTAAACCGATTGCTGGTGGTCAAGATCATTCACTCTGGAACTCACAACTTTTTTCACTTTGTTCATCAATGTCTCAAGCTTTTTTTTTTTTTTTTTTAAAGGTACCCTCTGGAGTGGATAGTGACCTAAGAAACTGAGGCAAATCGTGTTTATAGGATCAAGAAAGAGAGGGATAATTAGAATAAGAATAGCATAGTGTCCAAGAAGCCTAGAGATGTAGGAATGGCCAGTAATGTCAAATGCCAGTGAGATTGAGAAGAAAGCCTTGCATTTCAGAACTAGGTCACTTATGACCTCTGAAAGAGGTCAGGGCAAGTGCTGGTGCATAAGCTAGACTATGAGGGGTCATAGAGGGAATATGTAATAAGGCTATAACAGTCCCCAACCTCTCTCCCTGTCACTAAAGCATTCAGAGCAGCAGGGTGATACTGAGATGGCCCCCTCTCAGAACCTTCGCCTCCTTCCCTGACCTCAGGTTGCCTGCCAGCCCCATGGCAGTGAGTGGGGCCCTGTTTCTGTCCTGACTTGGATGAATGCTTCCTTGTAGATTTTACAGATGATTCCCTGTCCATAAAATTCACTTCTCCAATGTCCTTCCACTTCTGCCCCAACATAACAAAAAGGTATAACATCCTAAAACATCCTATAGCATCTTATAACAAACAGGTAGAGTCATTATCAGGAAGTTTGTCTTTTTTACACCCTTGTCTTTGTATTTGGGCAATTTATGATCTAAAGTGTAGTCATTTGAGTTGTAAATATCTGGAGGCCCCTCAGACTATTACTTGTGGTGTTTTAATATGCCCTCCTGACAGTATCTGGACATAAAAAAAAATTCCAAATTAGGTAGATTTTTTTTTATAACTAACTAATGGAATTAAGGGAGGAATTTGAGGCTTATCAACAGGAGCATAAGTAGGTAGGCAAGGGAAATTCAGAATGTCCTATATAAGGAAACAGAAAGACTCAATTAGGACCATTTAGCCTTGAGACAATCTCTTATTAAAAGAAAAAAAAAAAGGTAGATTTAAATGTCTCTTTTCCATCATTGCTTATACCGACTTCTTAAAAACATAAATTGAGATATTTACATACTGTATAGTTCACCTCTTTAAAGTGTACAAAATTCTTTGCAACACATGGCAAAATACATGAGCATAGAAAGAATAGGGGACTATACCTTAACTTTTTCTCTCTGCAATGTCCGAGTGTCAAGGAGGGGGAAGTTCAGCAGCTGAATCTACCGGAGCTCGACGTGACTGAAGGCAGGGCCACGCCGACTCACCTCAGTGAAGCGCTGTGCTGCAGACCCTGAAGAGACACTATGGCCATTGGATGACTTACGTTCATATATATGCTTTATTGCTGAAATATTTGTTATGTTGGCACTCACATTGGCAATGTCCCAGCCCTCTCTTGGGTGAAAAAGGTATAGAATTTCAGCATAGTCACATGGAGATAATCCTTGAGGAACGCCCACAGGAAGGGTCCTTGTCTTAGCATTTCCCAGTTTTATTTTGTTGGTATTAATACCCCTTCCCAGAAGTCCTGCTAAAGTAAAGGCATGAGGCTTGGAGCCTGATAGACCAGGGTCTAAACGCCAGCTCTGTCACTTACTAGTTGTTACGTTTTTCACCTTGAAGTCACTTTTACAGTATAGGGGGCTAATAATGCCTGTCTGTCCAGGGTAGCTTGGAGGGTTTAGTCAAAGACTGTAGGTAAAGCATGTAGTTCAGGGCCTACTACCTAGTTAGTGCTCAATAAATGGAATGGGTCTTTTTTCCCTCATCATTAAATTGGTGAGGGTGATTGCTGAGGCTTTTTTATTTACTCAGCACCTATTCAGCAGAAGGAGCACGGAACAGATTAGGCTACAATGATGGCATTTGGGACCCATTACTATAGAAGCCTTGACATGCAGGCAGCTTGCTCCTTGGCTCTCTGATTTACCATGTGACTATTAGTTTCCCTGGGATGCTGTAACAAAATTACCACAAACTGAGAGGCTCAAAACAACAGACATTTATTCTGTCACAGTTTTAGAGGCCAGAGTCCAAAATTGAATCAGCAGTCACCCCCCTCTCCCCCCCCACACACACACTCCAAGAGCCTCTAGCAAAGAATCACTCCTTGCCTCTTTCAGTTTCTGGTGGCTATGGGCATTCCTTGTGGTCGTATCACTCCAATTCTCTGCCTCTGTCCTCACGTCACCTAATCCTCTGTGTGTTTCTTATAAGGACACCAGCCACTGGATTTAAGGCCCACACAGATATCATTTTGAGATCCTTAAGTTAGTTACATCTGCTATGATCCTTTTTACAAATAAGGTCATATTCATAGGTTCTGGGAACTTGAACATATCTTTTGTGGCCACAATTCAACCATTATAGTGACTGAGTGACTCGCATGAGCTATTCATTCCCTCTCAATGCCTTAAACATCAGGTTCCTGATCTTGCTGAGGCCCAGATTTCTTCTGGCCTCAAATGCCTGCAAAATTTACAAGCCAGCTGTTCGTTAGCATCTTCTCTGTCTGCAAGATGTTTGTGTCAGACACGTTAGCAATAAGGCTCCTCCAGGGGAACAGGTAATCCCAGGTCCCGTTGCTACTCTAACCTGGTTCTGCCTCTTCCTGTTAGAACTCCCATCTCTGCAAGAATCCAAAAGCTCTCTCAGTTCTTTTATGAGTAACTATTCAAGCAAACGCTACCTGACAGCGAACAAGCTGATAATCCTGGAAGTATTTCTAACCCGTTTTCTGAAATCTCTTCTGAACTTCCCTCAGACATATTTGGGTCTGTTCTGTGTGAGCATAAACCCTCACAAGTGGCTTCCAGTGTATCAGAAAGAAGTGGTGGCTGCCTACAAAGGGAAGAGGCGATCAGAGGGTCCCCCTCACATCTTCAGTGTTGCCGAGAGCGCCTTTCAGCATATGCTTCACAGTAAGTGGCTGCCCTACAAAATGAAAGGTAAAAATATCTGATCCACTTTTCCTGTGTCACCAGGAGGTGCGCAGACATTGTGAGCAGAGCGTGGCCTTTACAGCTACCTAATCACTGGAAACCTCTTTTTCCTTCTGGATGAAATATGGCAAAATAGAGCCTGCCTCCTAGGGTTATGAGGATGATTAGCTCACACATCAAATTAAGTGAGATAATGCATTGAAAATGCTTGGCCTAGTGGCTGGCCCAGAGTGAGCCCCCTGTAGATGTCTACTTTTATTATATAAAGTGCCTGCTAGAGTTTCTGGTGTAAAGAAGTTTTCCTGTAGCTATTATTACACCATGCTTCTTGAAAGACTTAAAATGGCAAAAATGTCAACCATTAGTTAGTTGCCGTTCGTATTTGGAGCAAGAAAATAGGCCGTGAATTTGTATGTTCTTATGACTGGCATACATAGGGGCAGGAAAAAAATCTATTTTACTCCATACTCTTTAAATGGTATGTTTTTTCTAACTATACACGGGGCAAATCCCTTTCCTTGTATCTGACTTCAGATTGCAACTGAGGACATTTTTTACTACATTTATGGCAATACATAGAAGCTCTGGAGGAAGGATGGACTGACATGTTCTCCTTTTATGTAGATCAAGAGAATCCGTCTGTGGTCTTCACGTGTTTGCCTTGCCTTTTCTTTCTGGCCAGCAACGAGAGTTTTGTTGGGAATAGACATCTACATTTCACTGGGAATAAAACACAAATTTGCTGTCTATGAATAGTTTGCTCTTTAGATACAGAATACATTCTGGGAAGTAATCAGATACTCAGGAAATTACTCCACTGTGGTGCCAGCCAGGCTGCCACCATCATTTTAGGAGATCCTTCGGAACCCAGAGTGCACATGCTGGTTTTAATCATCACCTTCTTGATAAGAGAGAGCTCCCTGTCCAAATAATCATTTTCAAAGGTCTCTGGCCTGGCTAATAGGCAGCGAGACTGAAAATCCAATGGGGATGACCGTGGAACAGATAACATGCTGCTGTGGCAGCCAGATTGGGGCAGGCTAAGGTGCTTTAAATAGCAGGAACTAAAAGATGGTGAGGCTTGGAGGGCCAAGAAAAGGGGGTGAGGAGGAAGGAAGGAAAAGATTCAGTGATACCATTATGTATGTTAGTTTCAGTGGGAAGATCACTGACTGGCCAGGTGAACTGTTAGCGTGGTGGCTGAGGGGATAGGCTGAGACCCAAGCACCAGTGAAACACTCGAGGCCCTGGTCTTCCTATGCAACAATGACGCACCTTGTGTGTTAAGCTTTCCATTGGCTTCAGCCATGCCAAGAAAAGTAGTAGCATCTCAGAACCTTAGAGCTGAATGGGCAGCTGGAGTTCAGCCCTTTGCAGAGAGGATAGACTGCTTAGAAAACAGTTTAGAGTTTCATATGGGGGAAAGGCAGGCCTTGATCCTATGACACTTTGGGTGATGAGGCTGTAAATTTAGCATTGTGTTCTTGCTGCATTACAAAGTTAGCTGGATACCAAAGGGGAAGGGAAAGTCTGAAACCCAACTGCCTGGTGAAATGATTGGCAGGCCCTCTTCTGGGAAGGTGGTTGGACCTGGCCACGCGGTAGCCTCAATATATGAAAATCTCTTGAACAGCTGGTAATGCGGAGGCCTATCTCTAATTAGTAGAGGTACTCTTGAGCTTTTTGTTAACAGGACCATGAGGACTAGGCTTCTTGTTTTTATAAATGTCTTTGATCTTTCTGGATTTTAGCTAATGATGTTTTTCCAGTCCAACAATGTCCTTTCCCTTTTCCCAACCAATTAAACGTCTGCATCTCCTTCAAGTTCCCCCTTCCCATAAAACTTTCCCTTCTTGCCTTAGCCTATGTGTTGAAATTTTTAAACTTACATTGCATTTATAATCTGAACGAGTCAACTGTGTCACTGAATGTCTCATTGTAGAGGAGAATCTGGTGCTTGAAAGACTGTGAACACCGAACATATTCTACAGTATTTTGCCACCAGAGCAGCCATGGGTGAGTCTAGGGAAAGGCTGGTAAGTGTTCACGTACCTTGGCAGAAAAGGTGAGGTGGCCCTACCCCGCTGGTCACGGAGGCTGTGCCCTGACCACTCATAGGGACAAAGGAGGGGGAAAGAACCATAGAACAATTGGAAAATTATAGAAAACTCCTTTTTCCCATTTTTTCTTCACCTCTTGAAAGAATCAGCAGCAGCTCCAAACCAATAACCCTAAACATAAAATTACATAATTTGTTTTAGATATGCTTCAAGGGGCAACTCTTTGTTGATTGGACCCTCTGAAAATTAGGCACTTAAGATCCAAACCACCTTTCTTAAAGGCTAGGGTCATCAGGGCCTTGAATGACCACTTCTGATATTTCTGAATTCCTTTAGCTATAGTGAGCTGTCAGACTCCCATAAATATGCACCAATAGAAGTCTGCTGCCTTTACCACTAACATCTGGATCAGCTCTAACACCTGATGGATATCCCCTCTACCTAATCACATTCCAAGTTCTGAAAAACCTTACCGTCTCTTTCTATTTAATTATCTGCTTCTGTGGTGGTTTTTAATTTTGCTTACTTTGTTTAGCTTCATTAACAGGTTGATGGCCTTCATGATAATTTGAGGATAGCTAGACCATGAGAGTTGATATGCAAAACAAAATTAGGTAATGCTGAGTAGAACTCAAAATCAATGAATTATTGAGCTGTTAGAGTCTCACATCTTTCTATGTCTGACATTGTTATTTTGCTTTTTAAATTCAATCTTGGTTGTTTATTGCTATTTTTAAACTATGTCAAAATAGCAATCTGGTCTGATTTTCAAACCATGAAAAGTTTCTTTTCCAATCACTGAATTCCTGAATTTGATTGATTTCTTTAGATATCACTGAACTCATAGTATAAGTTTTTGAATACCATATAATATAATACCATAAAATAGGTCTTTGAGGCTGAATGAAAGACAAAAGCCACTGCAATTTGGGTACTGAGTGGTCATTCAGACTTGCTCTGTGTAGATGACCTGCTTTGGCCCATCAACCTGAGCACACATGGTTCAGATTCAAGATCAATACCATTACAAGTCTTTGCTTGACATGAACATCTAGATTACTTAGGAATGGTAGCAAAGAAAACTATAATTTAATAATGCCAAGAGTCTGCTGCATTATGTTAGGATAAAATATCAGGTGTGAGGATTAGATGGGAAGAGAGGGAGATTAACAGTGGGGAGAAATATATGGAATGAAGTTTAAAAATAGGCTATGGTATTTCTTATCTCTTCTCTGAAATATCCATTTTATTTTCCCACTCAGGCCAATTCCAACCAAAAGAGAAGCACTGCAAATAAATGATAATAAATTTGGAAGCAGCTTTGACTACTGGTTATTAAAACAAGAACAGTTTGACCTGGGGATGGAGGGCATGCCGCGTTACAGGATTCTGCTAAAAACTTCATCAGTTGTACTCCTCTTACCTGCATCTCAGGGGACTTTAGAAGATCAAATCAAACAAGTGACTCCTATCTTGGAAGCATTTGGAAATGCCAAAACCCTGAGAAATGACAACTCCTCTAAGTTTTGTAAGTAACATGGTTGAGCAGTACGTAAGAGTCTTTAATTTTTAAGCAAGTGGTAAAATTCATGTCTGAGCACATAGGTATGAAGAAAATTTCTAGCACATCAAAGGAGGTCTTTGATTAAAGTTTATAATTTTAGATTCCTCAAAAAATTTAACCAGCATTATCATGAAGACAATTAAAATTAAATAAAAATATGTACCTGAGAAGCTTCTATTATTTTGTCCATTTCAGGAAGAAACTATTAATTGAATAGTTTCAAATTCCTTCCCATTACCAGTAGGGAAGCTTACCCAGCAAATTCTAATGTTTTATACTTTATCATATTTTCAGATTTGAAAGTACTTTCTCCTTCATAGTTCCCTATACTTTTCATAACAAATCAATTTAATAAGCACTTTCTAATTCACTTACTACAATTATTATTTCTGTTCCTGCCTATGGCCACCTCTATCCCTGCATATTTTTCTTACTGGGAGAAAATATTTTTTAAGTAGCTTTTGATAACTAGCAGCCACATAATAGAGGAAGGATTTGGATTTCAAACGCCAATGTCACAAATCCATTTTATGCCAAGAGTAGCTGGTGGTGAGTGACTATGTAATTTACAAGGAAATTTGCAGAACGCTTCCTTTGGAGTCTCCCTCTGGGTATAATTAAATAATAGCCTCCTGCCGCTTTGGCTAGTTTCCACTCAAGGCCTTAGATCCACTTGCAACGTCTAGCTGCATAGCAGGTGCTAATCCTGGTCCATAAAACAGCTGCTAGATGTGGGATTTGTTAGCATGTGAAGGGATTTTCTGCTGAAATGAAAGAAAGAACGCTGCGGGGGGG